CTCATTTGAGTGAAACGTGATATTCCAAGCATAGCTCTTTCTATTCTTCTTTGGGAGACCTGAATAGCGTTCTCATCTTGTTTGCGTAGGGCCCAGGTCTCTGAGGCATATGTTAATGCAGGAAGAACAGTGGAATCAAAGAGATGTGCCCGGAGCCAGAGGTTCTTCGTCCTCTTAGCTATTTCTTCGACGTTCTTGAAGGCGTTCCAAGCCGCTCTCTTCCTCCTGCGCAGGTCGGGTGCCGGTCATTTGTCATGTTGACCTCTCGACCTAGGTACACATAGCTGTTGCATTCGGAGATGGTCGTTCCATTGAGAGCGAATGGAGCGTCAGGAACAAGGCTGTTTCTCATAAACATTGTCTTCGTAAGATTCAGCTGTAGTCCTACCTTTCCACACTCACGGTCAAAGTCGGCCAGCATTTGTGCCGCTTGGCTGATGTTTGGTGTTATTAAAACCCATCTTCTGGAATTGTCGTACCATATTTGATAGGGTTCAAATATGGTAACACCTACAACGGGGATTAGAGGTCACCCCAAAAGCCTCTAACCCTCTCGGAGAGACTGGCAAGCTACCGAGAGTATTCCGCCCGCACGGAAGAGCCTGGCAAGCTATCCGCTGTGTATTCGATATGCCAAAACCAGTAACTACAACTGGTCTCATTCACCTGGCCCTGAAGGCTTCACCGACATGGCAGCACTGAGAAGGATGAGAAAGGAGAGGCCGACAAAATCTCAAGGCTGACCTAGGCTGCCACAACGAAGGAAGACAAAAATGATCGTCTGTACTTTCAATGCACGTACGCTAGCATCAGATGCATCCATCGAGGACCTGATGGTACAAGCGCAAATGATCAAGTACGACATCATTGGTCTGACCGAGACAAGAAGACACGAATCTCACCATGCCGTTTTCGACACTGGAGAAGAATTGTTCCTCGGAACATGCGATAAAAGAGGTGTTGGAGGCATCGGTGTCCTTGTCAACACAAACTTGGCCAAGAGCATTGATTCATTCGAATGCCTAACAACCTGAATCGGACGTTTACATTTGAATAGATGTGGCTCACTGCCTGCAGTTTCTATCTTCGTTGTCTACGCACCAACATCTCATTATGATGAAAGAGAAATCGAGAAGTTCTACATGGAGCTAGAGAAGTTCTATAAACAAGACCACACCTTCTACAAGATCATTGTGGGTGATTTTAATGCCAAGATAGGACCGAGAAGATCAGCTGAAGAACTTCACATCGGGACCCATGGCCTAGAATGGAACGAACAGGGTGAGAGACTGTCTGAGTTCATCATGTCGACCAAGACCATTCATGGTAACTCACAGTTCCAGAAGGCAGAATCTAAACGATGGACATGGGAGTCTCCTGGTGGACGATTCCACAACGAAATAGACCACATCATATTCAATCGACGGTTTTGCCTGACTGATGTCGCTGTTGTCCCAAAATTTCGAACGGGATCGGACCACCGTCTCCTTCGTGCAAAATTCTACTTCACAGAGCGGGGAGAAAGGGCTGCAAAGTTCAAAAAGAAACTCCCAGAACGACCACCAACTGGGAACTCTTTGGCACTATTGCGGCAACATGGGAAGATGCCATTGTTGACAACATTGACGAGGAATACGATCGACTGGTTCAGCACCTCCATGAATGTGCGAGGAACGCCAAGAGAGAGATAGCCACAAAAAGTCGCCTATCTTCGAAAACTCTTGAGCTAATTCGCCAGCGTGGTTTGGCGCATGCCTCAGGCAACCGCAAGCTAACGTCCGAGCTTGCAAAGCAGTGCAGAGATGCGATCAAGGAAGACCTCAAAGAGAAGAGCAGAAGTACTGGTAGATGCGGCAGAAGCTGGGAAAAGTATTCGTAATGCCCGCCTGTCCTTCGCCAACTATAAGACCAAGATGACTGCCCTCCGACGTCCTGATGGATCCATCACATCCTCCAGAACGGCAATGGAGAAGATTATCCATGTCTATTCCATAAAGTATCAAAACACCTTAGAAATGCTCTTCTAAAAAAACCTATTCCAGTGTGTATAGGTAAATATATTTATATATAAGCAATATTTTCTATTGCTTCAAAGTGCTAAGTACAGTGACAACTCATCTCACTGGTTTTGTGTGTGTGTGTGTGTGTGTGTGTGGTATAGTAGCACTATAGCACTGTCCTCCTGTTGTTCATCTATTTGCTCAAGTGGGCACCAGTAATGTCTCCATTGTGAGACTTGTTGTTACTGTTTTTGGCGTATTGAATATGCCATGGGTAGCTTGCCAGGCTCTGCTGTGCAGGCTGGATACTCTTGATAGCTTGCTGGGCTCTTCAAGAGGGACAGAGGGGTCGAACCCAGGTTGGCCGCATGCAAGGCAAACGCCATACCCGCTGTGCTATCGCTCCATCCAGGTGGTATAGTGTATGCTAAATTTAGTTATCAAAAAAATATTAAAACTCTTTTTGTTTTTGTTTGTGTTCTTATGGGGTCACACCCAGTTGTGCTCAGTGATTACCTCTGACTTTGCACTCAGGGATGTCTCCTGGCTGGCTAGGTGACCACATTAGGCATAAGGGATGGAACCCAGGTAGGTCATATGCAAGGCAAGTGCCTTAATGGCTCTACTATCTCTCCTGCCCAGAATGAAAGTAACTCTTGTTATTAGCATTGGGGCCGCACTAAGCTATGCTCAGGGCTCACTCTTGGCTCTGCACTAAGGGATCACTCTTGGTGGGCTCTGGGGGACCCATATGGAATGCTCAGGATTGGATCCAGGTTGGTCCAGAGCAAGGCAAGCACCCTACCCTGCTGTACTATCTCTCTGGTCCCCAAATGAAACATTTTAATGGAATTCTTCCCAAATACATTATCTTTGAACGGGCAAAATCAATATTCTGAGGGTTGGAGTGATAGTACAGTGGGTAGGGCATTTGCCTTGCAAGAGGCCCACCTGAGTTCAATCTCCAGCATCCAGATGGTCTCCTGAGCACTGCCAGGAGTAATTCCTGAGTGCAGAGCCAGGAGTTACCCCTGAGCATCACCGGGTTTGATCCCAAAAGACAACAAATATTCTGAAACAGGTAAGGTTTTTCTTCATGGTTTTAAGAAAGTTTGTGTTCCCCAAACTCATTGATTTCCCCAAATTTTAGGGATGTGAGGGCTTTTGCCTCAACACGCTCTTCCCTTCACTTATATCCCTGCATCTCTTTGTTTTCTCTTTCAGTTGGCTGTTGTTTCTCATTAATTTCACCTAAACTCACTGCGGGAGTTACCTCATCTAACTGGAATCAAACCAAATCAAACCAAACTACATCTGTATAGATGGTGTCTGAAGGAAAGCATGTCTGAACAGTGCCTTGCAGCAGCTAGGAAACCTGCTCTTTCCTGGGTCCTGCCTGCACTTAAGACAATTCTTACTTCATCCCAAGTGTTAAAAGTTCAAGAATATCTGGCTTACAGGTTCTCCTTTGAAAAATATTCCAGAAGTCAGGGTCACGCATGCCTACGTGCTGTCTCTGGCAGCTGGCAGGGTCCTGAGATAGTAGATTCAGTGCTCCCACGAGCACTGAGCTTGGGAACCTCTAATCTTTGAACCTGGGTGATTTGGGTGCTCTGCTCTGATGTTTGGTTAGTTGAGGTTGGGCAGGGGTGGCCCATGGGAAATGAAGACTCACCAGTTCTTATGACTGGGGGGAGAAATAGTTTCCAAAGATGGAGCTGTCTACACAGTCTGATGAACTTTTCCTGACAAAACCAAATAATGCTGGACATTTACTAAGTTGGTCACTGGCTCTTCTTGCGACTTCTCCCTCTTGAATGAACAGGTAGTAGTTGATATTGTGCTCCACTGAAATAAATTTCAATATATTTACTGCATTCATTTAAAAAAGCTTATCCAAAGGGTTCATTTGATCACACTTTCTTTTTGAATTTATTTTAAAGTTTTATTATTTTAGGGGGTACACTGGGCAGTGTTTGGGGGCCACTGCTGGCTCTGCTCAGGGGCCACACCTGGAGGTATTCAGGGATCATATGTAGTGCCAGGATTCAAACCAGTGACGTGACTTTAGCCTCCTTGGACTCTCTCTTCAGGCGCTGTGAATTTTTTAAAAAGCAGTAGATGTACACTGCTTCTTTTTTTTTTTTTTAAAGACAAGACATACAGGGGAGAGATAGCATAGCAGTCGGGGCATTTGCCTTGCCTGCAGCTGATCTGGGTTCAATCCCCAGCTTCCCACAAGGTCTCCTGAGCACCTCCAGGAGTGATCCCTGAGTGCAGAGCCAGGAGCATACTCTGGACACCATGGACACCACTTATGTGGCTTCAAAATTGTTTTTGTAGATCTGGAAAGGGGGGTCCTTGTCAGTATGGGGGGAACCCAGGAGCTATTCCTGACAGTACTCAACCCTATTATGCAATACCTGATGTTTTGGTGCTGCTCAAAACTGGGGAACCCTCAGGGCTATATCCAGCTATGCTGGAGGGGAGGGGTACTCTATGTAGGGAACCAGCTCGGAGAACATGCGCCAGCCCTTTGGCCTATTTCCCACGCCCAAGAGTCAGGTGGTTGTTGTTGTTTTTTTAATCTTGCATTGGTGGTGAGGTGGGTTGAGTGGAAGGGGGATCCTGGGTGGGGGGCCCCATGGGTGATTCTTAGCCAACCAGCAACAGACCCAGGGTGCAGCTCTAATCCTGTGGTGCTGGGGATATCCAGGCCACCCTTTGTGTGGGGTCTTCAGGTCTGCCCCTGGGAATGCTTAGGGGCCATGCTCAGTGGTGCTGGCAATCAAACCCAGGTTAGGCACACTGCTGTACTCTCCTAGGCTCTATGTCTTGCACTTTTAACAAGCCTGCATATCTTGGATATGCTGATGGTCAAATTACAAAATCTGAAACTAAACAGCTTGCACTAAGAGTCTAATAGAACACAAGTGACATGCTCAAATGCATATTAGTGCCATGGAGAACCTAAAATAAAAACTGCAACAAGAAAGCCACTCCAGAGTGAAAATACTGGTATATTTGTATAATGCAAAGAGAGATACAGATATAAATCCTCAAAACGGAAGGTACATTAATAAAAATGTAGCATTATAAGCAAAAAATATTATACAGTACTTGCAGAGTTTAGTCTTCAGTTTAACATTGCAATGTCTAACAAAGAAATATTTAAAATTATAGTTCCCGTGATTAATTTAAAACAACCATCAGTAAAACAGCACAGCTTAACTTAGCAAACATTTTAAGGAAATGCTTTGTCTCATAGAAGTAGAGTATCATATTTATTCAATTCATTTATACCATGAATAAAAGAACAGTTTTCAAAGTGGAAATTGGTTAAGACAATAAACTGGGCTTCTCAAAGCACAAGCTGTCCCCCAAATCATTTAAAGTTTTATTGGCAAAAAAAGACACACAAAACCTTAAACAACTGTCATCAAGTACTTCGCTTCTCAGTGCCCTCCCAATCCATGAACCAGCACAGACAAAATCATGCAATACTTGGGAGTTTCTCCACACCATTACTAACCCAAACACTTTTTTGTTTTAACTCTTTAAAAGTTACAATTTTACAGAAATGTTTCCACTCAATATTGGTATGATACAGAGAGCAGTTGTGCATACAGTGATGTAGGAAACAAATCCTGTTGTTAACTGCTTTAAAGAAAAAAATCAAACAAAGCACCCGCCTTGCCACTGATGCTCTTTAAATTCACCGTCAACACTGGACAAAGTGCTCGACACTTCCAAAGCACCCCAAGGCTCAAGGCCGACAACTCAGAGGGCATTTTGACAATCTGCCTCCTCCCTTCTGCCAGCCCACCCCCCTCCCGCCTTTCTCCTGCCTCCAACAGAAGACCCTCAAGAAATGGAACTTGCGAAGTCCCCAAGGTTCCTCTTCTGCACCGCAAAATGTAATGCCACTTGAGGTTGTCAAAAATAGCTTCTGTAGAAAACTGGCCATGGTCTTTAGGAAACGTTGCATGAAGAAAATTAGTTTAGCCTTTATTTTAGAAAAGGAAAAGTCATAGCACGGGGAAGAAAAGACGTCAGTACCAGGACAAAGGACTCCAGGGCCTATTGTCAGGATGAAAACATATTCAGGAGGACAAAAGCGCGGAACTGGGTTGGGCTGGACCTGGAACACCCACCCCGCTTCCCTCCTCGGAGGAGTCTGTACAATCCACGCCCTGCACCCACTGAGTCGTTCTGAAGGCAGTTTAGGAAATTAAACGAGGGGAAGGGGGTGCCGGGACGGGGCGGGGGCGGGGCGGGGGAGTGCCGACACCGTCCAAGTCCAAGCCCGGGAAAGGCAGGTCGAGGATGGGCGTGGGGAGCGGCGGCCAGGGCGCCCCTCACAAGCCGATGCCCTTCAGGTCGCAGGGGAGCGCGGCCTGGGCGGCCTGCGGGCTCTGGCAGCAGGGGAACTGGGCCCTGAAGCAGTCCCGCAGCTCGCGGTTGAAGAGGAAGCACACGACGGGGTTGATGCCCGCCTGCGCGAAGGTGAGCCACACGGAGGCCGTCAGGTAGGCCTGCGGGACGGCGCCCGGGCGCACCCACACCCGCAGGTAGCTGGCCACGACGTAGGGCCCCCAGAGCAGCAGGAAGAGCAGCGTGACGGCGTAGAACATCTTGCACAGCCGCTTCTCGGTCTTGAACTCCTCGAGCACGAGCAGGCGGCGCGCGCCGCGGCCGGGCCCCGCGGGCCGGATGCCCACGAGCGCGGGCGGCGTGGGCCCGCGGCCGAAGCCCGCCGTCCAGTTGGCGGCCGCCTGGCCGGTGGCGCCGGGCCCGTGGAAGGTCCAGTCGTGGCTGACGGCGGGCACGAGGCGCGCGGGCCGCATCTTGCGGCGGTCGTGGATGAAGAAGAGCAGGCGCAGGTAGACGAGGTGCGTGGCGCCCACCACGGCGGCCAGCAGCAGCAGGAAGCCGAGCGCGCCGGGGGCGCCGTCGGGCCGCTGCTCCAGGGCGCAGGGCGCGTCCTCGCCGCCGCCGCCGCCGCCGCCGCCGCCGCCGTCCAGCACGGGCGGGAAGGCCGCGGCCAGCGCCAGCGCCCAGGCGGCGCACACCAGCATGGCGGCGCACGGCCAGCCGGCCAGGCGCTCGGCGTAGAAGCGGTGGTGCGCGATGGCCAGGTAGCGGGTGACGCCCACGCCGAGCAGCAGGAAGGCGGCGTGGAAGCAGAAGAGCGCGGCCAGGAAGGCCAGCAGCTTGCAGCCCAGCGCGCCCGGCGGCGCCCCGGCCGCGGCCGCCGCCCGCCGCGCCGCCAGCATGACGGCCGGGAGGCAGGCGAGCGCGCGCAGCCCGTCGGCCAGGCACAGGTCGAGCAGCAGGTAGTACGGGGCGCGGTGCAGGCTCCGCTCCCGCACGATGAGCAGCGCGAACAGCACGTTGCCCGCCAGGCTCACGCACAGCAGCAGGCTGAGCGTGGCCAGCCTCAGGCCCAGCGCGGCCGCCTCCCCGCCGCCGCCGCCGCCGCCGCCCGGCTCGCTGGCGTTTGCCATCGCGGCCTCCGCGCCGCCCCCCCGCCGCCGCCCCGCGACCCCCGCCCCGGGCTCCGCAGGCCCGGCCGCGCCGCTCGGCTCCGCGGGGCCGCCCCGGGCCCGGCGCCCGCGCCGCGCGGGCTCAGCCCGCACCCGGCCGGCCCCGCCGCAGCCCCCCGAGCCGCCGCCGCCGCGCCGCCATCTCAGCCATGGTGCGCGCCAGAGGCGACGGCCACTCCCTGCGCCGCGGGCTCCGCTGCGGACACGGCCCCGCCGCCGCCGCCGCCGCCGCCGCCGCCGCCGCCCGCAGCGCCCCGCATCCTCCGCCTTCGCCGCCGCCGCCGCCGCCGCGCCTCTAGGCTCTGCCCCCCGCCGGGCCCGCCGCCGCCGCCGCCGCCGCCGCCGCCGAGCCCCCTCCCCTCCGCCGGAGCGCGCCGCGCGGCCGCCGCCAGCCCCGCCGAGGCCACCCGGGCCGGGCGGGCGGCGGGGCGGGAGGCAGGGCCCAGGACGCGCGGTGGCGACGAGTCACCCCCAGGTAACGCGGGGCCGGCGGCGGCGGCCGGCGCCCGCGCTGGGTCGCGGGGGAGGCGGCCCGGAGTGGCCGGGTCGGGAGGCCTGGGAGGGGGCGGCGCTGGGCCCCCGGGCAGAGCCGGGGTGGGTCTGCCTCCCCCGCACCCCGCACCCCCGCACCCCCGCACCCCCGGCAGGATACACCGTAGCCTCTAGCGGCGGCACCCCGGGCTCCCCGGACGTGGGTGGCGGCGTTCGGGGGCGCTGGGCGAGCGTCATCTCCCTCCCCCCACCCCAACCCCCGCCAGCTGTGCTGTCACCACAAAGTTGGCCCTACCTGGACCCCCCACTCCATTCTCGAGGAAACAGAAGCCGCCGGTCCACGGGCTGCTCGCCGGTCCGTGGCGGGGCCCAGCTTCGAATTTTACCAAGTCTGGCGCCCCAGCAGCTCTGCCCGCTCTAGGGGTCCCGGGAAGGGAACACGGATCCAGCGTTTTCTAGGAGATGGCCAAGCAGCCAGAGCTCTGCCACCCAGCGCCGCCAGGACACCTCTCTCCGGGGGAGGGGGCGGTCGGAGAGGGCCATCCAAGATGCTGAACCTCACGTGGGCCAGGTTTTCCCCAGAAGCATGGGCGGCGCCACCGAAGGGTCCAGCCCCAGCCCTTGAGGCCCCCGTGCACACCCTCCTGCCCGCTGGTGCCCTCCTTACTGCGTATCGCTTCTCATTGCGAATTTGGCTGTCTTGCAAAGTTCCCACTTTCCTACTTGTTTCTCTGTCTCCAAGCTCCATCAAGGCAAGAGACTTTGTCTGTCTTGAGGGGCCTCTGTCCCCAAATCCTAAAGTGCCAAAGTCAGAATTAAGGAGCTCATGTTTCTTGACTGCCTTTCATCATCATCATCATCATCATCATCATCATCATCATCATCATCATCATCATTATTATAAAGCTGAATGTTTTGTATGGCATACCTACAATGCGGGGCAGGCACTGCGGTTGGGGGCGTTTCCAGGATAACGGAAGTAGAGAAGGCCCAGAGGACCAGGCAAGGAGTGTGCCGGTGGAGGCCGAACCCTTAGGGGTAAGGGAGAGAGACCACAGCTTTGCTTCCTAGTGTTTAAGGGGAGTGACAGAGCAGCATCTGGAAGTCTAGTCTAGGGATTCAGGCTGGACTGTGCGCACAAATCCCCCAGGAGTCTTAACATGCAAATTCTAGTTCAGTTGGTTTGGGGGTGGATGAGAAAATGCTTGGTTCTTTACAGGTTCTTAGCTCAAATCAGTCGCTGTGGGTCCTCAGACCATACTTAGAAATAGCAGCACCCAGGAAGAGCACATGGACACCTTGCAAGTATCTAAGTAACAATGAGGGCCTGACCTGGATCCCCAACTGGCCAAAGGCTAGCAGCTGACCCAGCAGATCTGCAAATTTTCGTTGAGGGGACAGAGCTCAGTTTGGCATGGGGAGTGGGGGGCAGGGTGTATTCTGGTTAGTCATTACAGTTTTTAAATAGTAGCTTTAAAATGCATGTGAGTTCATTTTCTTCATGAAATAAGAGGTCATGCCATCAGCAGATGCTGGCATCGATTGATGGACTCAAGGACTGAAGCTCTGCAAATCTTTTATTCCTTCCCTCCTGATCACAATAAGTGATTGACACCCCCGCCCTTGCTTCTGTATCCTGAGGAGAAATATAAGGAAAAGAGTAAAAGTGTTCCTGGCATCTAAGTTAGCCCTCTCTGAATTGCTTTTAGAAATCCTGTGTTCTTAGTCATACACAGCCATAGAGAATGATGTGCAAGAGAGAAAAAGGTCAGAGCGATAGTTCAGCGGGTAAGGCACTTACCTTGCATATGCCTGGACCCCTGTTCAGTGCCTGGCACATCTGGTACCCTTAGCACCACCAGGAATTACAACTGAACAGGGAGCCAGAAGTAAACCCTGAGCACTTCCAAGTGTGACCCCCAAACCAAAGAAAGAATTTGGGGGGGAGAGAGAGAGAGAGAGAGACCGCCTGACTTTAGCACTTGAACTGCATCTGCCCAGAGGAAAGAAGCCTTTTCTGTGCACACAAACACACCAGTTCTGGTTCCTCTGTCATAATAATGACAGTTCTTTGTTCAGGGAGCACTTGCTGTGTGCCAACACTGTGGTAACATGTTAGTTGAGGTATCATTGACCAGGGACCAAATGTAGTAGGTAATGTTAGAATCTCCATTTTATAGATGAGGCTGAGAGGGGGATACAGTTAGTTCAGCCTTCTGCCAAAAGTAAACAAATGTAAGAACTGAGGTTACAAGACAGGAGTGTGACTTCAAAACCCATGCTCAGAGTTGCTGTGTGTATATATGTGTCTGCTGCAACCACAAAGAACGATACCAAATTTCTAAAAAGCCAAAACTTTCTGATGTTCATATTTCTAGAATTTGAGTTCCTTCCTTTTAGGAAGGGAAAGATTTTTTCAAAACTATATAGTTGAAAGTGTTCAATGTCATTTCAGAAATAGAAATTCTTTTTTGTTTGGGAGGGGATGGGCTCCCAAGGGATGCTTAGGGGGCCCAGGGAGCCCAATCATTGGTGAACAGTCCTGCTCAGGCTCTGCAGTGTGAGGATCACCTGGGCCACCCTGAGCCTCCTGGACTGCACCTGGCAACACTCGGGAAACCATGTAGTTCCATGATTTTAATTAACTTGGCTGCATGCAACATATACACCTTAACCCCGGTACTATCTCTCCAGCCCCAACAGAGAAATTTATTAATGGCTCAGTGGGCAGTAGAATCTAGGTCTCCTAATCAGAACCCTTCTCACTTATTATTCTCCTGAACTTAACGATATCAGATGAGTTACAACCTCTTGGAATCTCACTTTCCTGTTTACAAAGTGAACATTGAGCTAAATGATTTCTGAACTTCCTTTACTCTGAAGTTTCATTTATGTATGAGAAAATGAAAGCTGGTTGGTTATAAAATCTTTAGTGAGGAGGGAGATGTTTTTCAGTTAAGGACCCAAAAGAATAGACATTAGTCCCTTTGTAATTTAGATTTCTCTTTTCTTTTTCTCTCTATGGCTCAGTATGCTTCTCTTTGGGATTTGAGATTTGGTTTAGTCATTTGGCCAGGATCAAATAGCAGAAGCAGTGATAGAAATGTATATAAATCACGCTCTTCCAGCATTTGTATGGCTGCTTCTTTTGCTTCCAATATTTGTTTAGCAGGTTAATACTTAAGGAAAAACTATTAACATTTCAGTGCCAGCATCAACTTATTTTTCTTTTATTGCTTCTAGGAAGCTCCAGTCAGTAATTTAAAATAGTTTCTTCTGCACTGATTTGAGTTCCTGCCTCTGAAAGCAAAATAACTCCATGCTTTTTTCCCTGTAAGAAAAATTTCCATTTGCCTATAACCAAGTTCTTCTCTTTGCACGTGGATAAAAAAAGTTGGAGTTCTTTCTTGCTGAAAATTTAGCTATGCGATTTCTTTGTCGCACCTATAAGTGGTACGAAAGGCAATGAAAATCCAGACTCTCTAAAGAAAGTAGTTGGCACATAACATCCCGACAAATTTGGTAGAGATCAAAGATGCAATGATCACGGGAACTAGTTAGGACCCTGTCTCCTATTCAGCCTTAGACTCCGGTCAGATATTTGCCACTGGATATATATGTTCCATGAGATGAAGTTTGTTTACAGAGAGTTTAGAGCAAGTTATGCACACAGATGACAAGTCATAAATGGTAAGTAAGAGCTCTTACCTTTTATTAACCATACTGGATTGACTTCTTAATTTCCCACCCCAATTTTACATAGCAGAGTCCTCTCTATGCATCTTGGGTTCTTATATACAGCAAGCATAAATGCCAGCTCATAACGTGAATGCCAGCTCATAATACCAAGGGTACAAGAAATATAACTGCTTCTGGAAAAGAAACTTTTAAACTCAACTTTCCAATTTGCCTGGCTTATGGAGACATGAGGTGTGATGTTAGTGCTCCTTGGTTTTATCAAGACTTTTTTCCTTAAGATGTGCCATAACTACCAGGACAGGGCCCAGTCTGGACAGCACAGTTCCTTTTGGGACAGTGTGTACATGTGTGAGTGTCCTGTCTGAGGCTGGATTACCAGTATCTGCTGCATTGTTCAAGTTCTTTTCAAAGTTCTTTTCTTTCTTATCAAAACCTTTTATGTTTTGGTCTTCTTGCTGCCTCATGCCAGACCTGGAGTCTGGGCTGGGCAAGTGTTCACAAGACATTTCGCACCCATTCTTGCTAATCTTGTATCTGAAAAGCAGGTATCAGTCCTGCCTTACTGGATTCCCGCTTCTTTCTTCTTTGTGTAGCACTAAGGAACTCCTGGATTCTCTGGCAGATAGAAAAGTAGTGCTTCCTTATTCTTCTGGAATACAAAATCCGTCAGTTCTCCCATAATTTATGCGTTTGAGGAGGCAAATCCAGGAAGGGTCTCTGTAATCACTTGCTCCGAGGCAAAGAGGTCTGGAACTTGTTTAATGCTGGTTGGAGGAA